ATGAAATAATGGACTCTACACTGCCTGTGTCCAGAATAAAGTCATGAAATGAACCACGCGATGTATATAGTCGCTTTTGAATATGAGCATTACCTTTCGAAACAGTAGACAAAGATAAATAGTCACTAGAAACATCCGAATTATTGAGATTTAAATGACAAGATTTAGTGCTACTTGAAGCGAAATGGACAGTAGCTTTGCATACTGACTGAATGTGTCCTATCTCACCACATTCAAAACATTTAGCATTACGAAATGTACATGAATTACGGGAATGAAGCTTTCCATATGATAAACATTTACCAAACTTGATCTCACCTTTGTGATTTGCTTTGTAATTCCTTGTCGAAACCCCTTACATATTTACACGAGAATAGGAATCGCTGTTAAACGAACTCAAGTTTGATTAAACCTGAGATTGTAGTTCATCATGACAACTAAGCAAAGTATAAGAAATATTCATCGACTAGATATCAAGTTCATTCACTGCTTCGTAGTTAATACACGCAGTTCTAGCATCTTGAAAGGAACAGTTTGCCATTCTTAACAGCTCTCTTTCCAAACTCGGTATGTTAATTCCTGCCATTAATCGATCTCTCAGTTGCACATGAAGTTGATCACCGAAATTACACTTTGAAGCTTGTTTCTGCAATTCAAGGATGAATTCCCGAACTTTTTGGTCATTTTGACGAACCATCTTATGAAATTTCGCCTTTTCACGGCATTCAAAACTGGTGCACTTCACATGATTTAATAATAGCTCCTTAAGAACTGCATAAGGAAGTGAGATAGGTTTTTCTTAATATGCCAAAGATTTTAATAAGCTGTACGCTTCTCTTCCGATGAATGTCAGGAAATTTTCCTCAATTTTATCACCTTTAACATCTTTCTTAGTCATGCTCCAGATTTCAAACCTTTCCAAATAATCCTCTAAAGCTTCCGAAGTCGAATGAATATCTAACTTTTCAATCGCAGGCTCCATCGCGACGCCAGAACAATATTCACATGTATTTGGATTATCGCATAAACTAGGAATCCAGAATTAACGCAACTGAATTAAGAATTAAGACACAAGCACAAACAAATGTATTGTATTTGTAATTTGAAATCGAGCAATCAACAAGTACAAAAGTATCATTAGTTCGTTCAAACACCACAGGGTTGCACCAAAGTTCAGCTACAGACTCAATCCAATACCGATCGCCAAGGTAGCGAGAGTGGTTGTAAAGGCGTTTTTTGGATTCGAAGGTTTGGTTTATGAACATGGATTCTAATGGCCTCAGCAATACCAGAAAGATGAGGGCGTTAACCATGAGGTAAATTTGATGGAATATGGTGGATAACCTGAAAGGATTTATTCAAGTCAATTTGATGACATGTGTCCGCTAAGTGAAGGAAAATAGAACTCTTAATCACTCTTACCTATCTTTTGCTCAAACAAGAAGGAAAAATAGATACATTTGATCTTCATTTCGTCTCATTCATGTGTTTGCTGATGAATTTCGTTGGGGTTACGTTCATACCAAGCAGGTTACGTGTTCTTTTTTTAATACCATGAAAGTATTATCTATACAGAGACAGTGCGATATTAGATAACAGATAATGTCCTTAAGTGTTCCATTTTCTAGATTTACAAGAAAAATGTCTGCCAACGGATGGTCCAAAGGTGACTCCATGGCTGTACATTCAATTGTCTACAGTATTCATTCTCTACTCGGAAGTAGGCAGTCATCATGCAACTTAGAATTATCAGTCTAATTGCAGATACGGGAATTTAGATTTCTATGTACCTCTCTGTTAGTTCCTGAGTTTCAGTTCTGAGAATGTTAGTGTGAATAACGACGATGCATCTAATGATATCATGAAGTTATTTCTGACCGACAGATTTTTTATATTATGAAGAAATTCAAAGGAATCCTAGACGCTATGCCTAACGATTACTTTGTGCAGCGGATTGAGAATTCGAAATAGCCAGTTTACTTAAGTATGATTGACTGGATTACTCATATCTAAAACTGGTCGAAGGTGCAAGCCACTTTTAATTATTTTTGGCAGACCATTTAGCCTTGGTGTTATCGTTCTCGTAGATCTCAATATTTCGAACACTATTTCCGCAATCAAACTTTATTGTTTGATTTATTTTTCAATGATTTCTGTGAATCATTCTTCACTACCAGTTTCCGAAATTTACTTTTATCATTTAAAAAAGCCTTTATCCTGACTAAATAGTTGTTTTTATCCATGAATACTACACCACAACCTTTGTCTAGTTTTGTGATTAATAAATTGCCATCGGTTTTAAATGTCCTTACCTTTTTTTTTGGTTAAAATCTCTTTCATATTGTGTCCATGTTTCAGTTCACCAATGTTGATTTAAAACTCTCGACATTATCTTTTGATGGAGTTACTAGTTCTACCGTTTGGGCATAAAGGTATTCAAATTGAATTTCAACGTCCATTCTATTAACCGTTTTCTTAAAGTCACAAAACTTAAAGCGTAAAAGATAATGGTCCTAACTTAGCCTTATCAAACTTAAGTTTCAAAAAAACTGTGTTTATACTGACCTGGGTTAGGTGAGAACTTAATTACTGAAATCTGTTTGTCTAGATTTTCCATTATTTTACTAGTACCTCAATAACGAGACGTCAAGAAAATACACAACCATCTAAATTTGGAAAATGAAATTATCATTAGAATGCCCTTCCTACGATTTATTTCATTCACCAAATAAAACCTTGGGGGACAACATTAAGAGTTTGACTACTAAAAGGGATTTATATTTATGAAAACCTGAAAATTAATTATTATTTCAAGAGATAAAATTGGGCGGATCATTGAAATATCTTTATGTAGTGGATTTTCGGTGAGACTCTAATTTAGGGACGAGAAAATCAGAAGACAGTTAGTATAAAGTAAAAATATAAGAAAGTAATGAATTACAGTGGATATTCTTTTTTACATGATTTAAAAACTTGTCAAGGTTCGATAAAGGTTCAGAGGTTCTGAATTCATAATGCATACGGTATAGAAACTCGTCCATAGGGTTAGGGTTGTAGCCTCTCAATAATCACCTCTTCTCTAAAATCCGCTGTAAACTGATCGTATGTTAGCATCACGTGTTGAACTTGGCTTCGTGACCCAGAAATTGTTCAAACGCTTCTGATTGTCTCGTCCCTATATTAGAGTCTCGTCACCCTAACCCCAACACTATGGGCGAGTTTCTATACCGTATGCATTATGAATTCAAAACCTCTGAACCTTTATCAAACCTTGACAAGTTTTTAAATCATGTAAAAGAAGAATATCCACTGTAATTCATTACTTTCTTATAATATATTTTTACGGTAAGACTATAGTTTATGGATGATCAATGAGCGACGCTAAAAAGACCTTGAGAATGACCACCTATAAACTACGAATAAATGAGGGTTATAAACCGATGTGAAGAATTAGGATTGATATTTACATTTGATAGTTAGGGTTAGGAATTAGATATAAGGTTTTCATCACGGTCTGACATCAGCTATAATACCAAAACTCTATTTAGTCAAATTAATTGATTATTTTCGCCTCAAAATTCAGGATCCGTTAACGTGAACCTGACTGGTCCGTCCATAAATTTTAGTATCGCCATATTTATAGAGTTATTAAAAGTGTTGCCCATCCAAACTTGAAGTCCAGTCAATAAACATTAAAATCTGGGTTTATAGATTTCAATATGATGTATAAGCTGATAATCGGGTTTATCCATTGTTTACTAAACGATCTATATCTATGTATGTCACAATTTCCATGAGTGATGTCATACTAAACATATAAAAATGAAATCTTTAAACTGCAGGAAATACTGAAGAAAATAAGTGATAGTGTGGTGTACGCTACTTATACACACATAAGTAGTATATAACAGTAGTCAGGTATAGAATGTATTTCAGTTGAAGATCGAAGAGGAAGGAACAAGAACGGAAAGGAATTAGTACGAAAATGCAGAAACAATCAAATCTGAGACAATGTACTGATATTTGCAAAAGAAACCGTCAAGTTTGAGACAATGGATCGATATTTAGAAAATTAAGTATTTACTGTATAGTTCTCAGATTTTAGTGAAATATTCTGTAGTTTCGTGTTTTAATATGTTCGATTTACCCCACTGGCATTCTTGTTCACTACAATAGGGTGTCAAAGAATCGAGTTTAACATTAAAATCTTTAAGGATTAAATGACCTATAAAGGTGATATTCTGTAATTGTTCACGACACCTAATCATATCATTCTTCCTGTAACAGACCTGTATATAAGCTGAAAGATCTATTCTTATGGCTAGTATTTTATGCTTTCGATATCGTTTCATGTTATAATCTCTTTCTTACGGTTATAACCCAGCTATTGCTATTACTTAGTATCCTCGGACACCGATTCACTCGACAAGTCCCCAAATCAGAACACGGTTGAAAAGGAAAGAGATTGTACTCCAAATAACAAGGTTAGATGGAAGTAAGAAGCAAGTAAGTAAGGAAAACGTTAGTATATTTATAGTTTTTACATGAGAAGATTCTAGAGTATTCTCCAAGTATCGACTAGCGCTGATTGGATAAGAATTAGCCAGTCAGCGTGCAGCAAAGCAATCGTGCATTGAGCATGCTTTAATCCAGTCTATGTCCCGCTAACAGTTCATTAAAGAAGTTTGATTCAACTATCACTTGAACTTATTATATAATTAAATTTATTTATTCATCAACATTGTAATGATTAATTCTAACATTTACAAACCTCATTCAGTAAATCGAAAAATTCTCCCACCTTAAATACTGAAAAGTATCAAAATATGACAAGAAAGTTATACTTTTGTTATCGTAAGTTCAGTTTTTTATAAAGCATACACATATATAACCATGTAATCTAATGTAATCACATAATAAAACTACAAAGATACAGTCTAGAATTAACATCATACATTAGATAGAAGACAATATGTCAAAACGATATTTACATATTCTTTTCAAAAGAAAGGTTTAGTTATAAATATAATAATGATAATCAAACTTGATATACCTAATGTTACTCCAATTTCAAATGTTTGCTCATATTTACCAGTTAATTGATAGAATTTAATTAATCCTGTCCAAGCATAGAATGCATGATTCCAACAATTATCTAAATCACAATTTAATTGTTCATTTATGATTAATTGTTCTTCTTTATCTGATATATCAGAATGTATAACAATTATACGAAGATAAAAATATTGTACATCATTTAAGATAGTTGAATTTCTACAAAATGATGGATATATTGTATAGTCACATAATAATTGCCAATCTTCTTGTGAATATCTAAAAAAAGTTTTTGTAAAGTTTGTTTAATTTCAAGACAATAGTTTTTATCATGTACTGTATGACAGTTATTTATTTATTTGAACACATAAATACTGGTACAAGGGGGCACCAAATAGATATGCGCCACACAAATCAAATGAGATTTGTGTGAGGGCTGTGATACTGCCCGGGTGCCCAAACCAAAGCAGGTGGTTTTCTTAGGGGGCCACAGCCGGAACCTTCAACCTAAAGGTCTAATCCACAAGGCAGTAGATCGTCGTAAGGAGATGCAGTCCCATGGTAGCCAGTGACCAACGATTGGTTCATACGTCATTTGTTCCTTCAGGGTACTGGAGCACATGTACACCATTGGTTTGGATTCAGGGTTTTCCAACTCCCCTAAATGGACTCACTGTGTCCACCAACCCGATTAAAGCGCCTGACATTCACTTTTTGTCCTCTCAATTCCGTAAACAACGCTCCAACCACGAGAAGGCAGTGAGTAGGACTTCCCTGACAGAGGCTATATATGCGTGGCCATGTGAGAGCATTTCGGGAGGTAGAGCTGACTCTTCCTACTCTCGGCCGTACAAGGGCATTTGGGGGCACTGTATAACAGTATATCACTACTAGTGACTACCTTCAAGATGAATCTGCGAAATGTTTTGTAAGAAGTCATTGTCTGAAGTTCAACAATTCTATAATCGAATTCCATTTAACTGATTTAAAGATATTATACCTACCTGGAACTAGGAAATGAGCGTTACTAAACATTGTCAAATCTATACTATGAAGTTATCCAATTCTCTTTAATTTTCCATAATTCTTCAACTAATATCATTCTGTGATAAAAACTAATTTTGAGTAGATATTTTTGTTAGTGTCTTATAGTTTAAATCAAAAATCATTACGGTAATGATATGAAAATATTCGTTATGTGCATGAATTCGTTATTTACAAAGTTCACAGGAATAATCTGATAACCTTTAATAAAGTTTTATGAGAGGTGAATTTTAAACTTCAATATCTCCAATAGGCTAAACAACATTATACTGTAATATATTTTATTCGTTGGCAAGTGCATAAATGTAATTCAGTTTCACACATATGACTGTTGCTCATCATCAACTTATATGTGACAGTTATCTTTTACAAATGAAAGTTAATTTAGAATTCAATAATGAGATATTTTAAATACAAATAAATTTAATGTTGATTAACTTCTAATACAAAAAACAAGCACTGTATTTATTGAATAACAACAAATAATACACCATGGTAACTGAAAAGAAAAAAAGAAACGTAAAATGTTCGTTTATATTCCCTTTTAGATTAGAGTTTACATATAGAATCCTGCTTCACTCTGGGCACCCGAGCAGTATCACAACCCTCACACGAATCAAATGAGATTCATGTGGCGCATATGTATCTAGTGCCCCTTGTACTAGTATTTATGTGTTCAAATCATCAAATCAAAAATAGAATTATCCGTTTATTTTTTTGGGAAAGGGAAAGGGAGAGGAGGGGACACAGATATTTGTCGATACATTTGACAACTATTTTCGAAATTAGAATTAGAATTAAATAGATTATAAAACAAACATTTGATGAATAGATAGCACAGATATTGTCTCTTTTATTGGCAGTCATCATCATTATCATCATAAAACATTATCCATTAGAGTGTATCGAAAACTGAAGAAACTGTTATTTATCTAAATTTCAAATGTGAAAGCAATAGAATTAATAAACACCATTAGAAAATATAAACTTATACACTTCATGTAGATTATTCCAATGAATGATTTTTTAACAGTTGAAATAACTATATGAAAAACCACACTTTTTAACAGCATACCAACACATAATACACGGTGATATTGTGGTGTGTGCTACTTATATCGAAATGAGTAGAATATGAAGATAGTCAGGATTAGAATGCCTGGCAGCAGAAGGTCGAGAAGGTAAGAATGGGAACAGAAAACAATCGGTATAAAAATTCAGGAACAATAAAGTCTAAGACGATTGACTGATGTTTGCAAGAGGAACAGTCAAGTTTGAAACAATTGATTGATATTTTGCGATGGTAGAGAAGATTTGTAGCTCAGGTGGATGATTTTGATGATGTTTTTTTTCTGAGCTGGATGGTTTGGTCGTGGAGCTTTCATGGTTCTTCTGAACGACATCATCAGCACAAACTTCAGATAGAAGTGAAGTGTTCAAATTTCTCCACATATGGTTCACAGCTTGTCCTGTACAGCTCGACGTTGACTGGTTCTTGATGAACCATCAAAATGATTGATACTTTGCAAATGAAGTATTTACTGCATAGTTCACAGATTTTACTAAAATGTGCTGTAATGCTATGTCCAAATATATTCGATTGTTTCCAATTGTGTATCTCGTTCACTACGATGTTTTTAGAAAAAAATGGTCTTTTTGATGACGATTTCCATAAGTTATAAACATTAAAATTGTTTGGAATTAAAAATGTCATCAAATTTATTGATTACACTTAATAAGTTATTAAGTTTAATAAATAAAACTTACTCAATTGATGCAGATATAATTTGTCTTAAAGGTATACCTTGTAATTTGCCTTGAATTGCAGAGATTATTTTTAAATACATAGTAGATGTTATATTTGGACAGAAGCCAATTGATGAAATGAGAGAAGATGTATTATCGTTTCCAGTTGATAATTGTAAAACAGGATCATTTCTGAAAATTGAACAAGAAAAGTTTGAACATAATGTGAAAGTTATATAATCATAACTATATGTAGCCATTACTCTATTGTTTGCTTTCTACTGATTAATTAAAGGCTAATCTCTATATTTAGTTAAAGGTCAGTGAGTAATATTAAATTGATTATTTTTTATCTTCTTTATACTTAATGTTATCTGTTTCAGCAGTTTTTATTACCCTGGATATAAGTTGGTTACTAATACTTACATATTTTAATAATAAATAAGCCACTGTGAACCAGAAATTCAAACGAAAGGATATGCTGAATTTTAAAACTGTTGAACACTGATTACTTTCATAAATTAAATAATGTTCCTTTAAACATGTCGGGAGTGAAACGGTTGTCTACAATGGCATCGAATGATAAACGTTCCATATTATAAATTGATTTAAGCTCAAATTTTCTCGTTGGACGCTGACGCAATGTTCGAATGGTTAAGCATTAGTTAGGGAACCTGAAAGTCCTGGATTTACTTTCAGGTAAGGTGGCGAATGTAAACTGTTGAGAATTCTCGTACTAGAGAGGTAATGGCTGTTTAGTTTTTCCTGTTTCTCAATAGTTGTTTAACTAAGATCAGTCTGTACTATAAACTAGCAAACCCATCAATCTTCACAAACCCTTAATACTGCCTATAGTTCCTCTTTGATATTAATTAATCGATAGAGATTGAAGGAAATTCACTGGTTTTATAAATTGGTCATTATAACATTAGTTTTTAGCAAGTGATTTATTAATATAGACACTTTGTGCTTACAAGAGACCTGATAGGTTAGCAATAACAACCGTGTCTGTGTCACTGAGTAGCAAGGGTTTGATCGCATATGAAAAATATTAATTTATTTAAGAGGATAGATATATCTTATTGATAAGTGGTAATCAATGTAAAACTTAAATTCAGAATTTGCTGACTACTACGTTCAATTTACTAACGGTGAAAGTAGTGTATACAATTAATGTCAAATTATTCTAATTCAACCAGTAGAAATGAACCAGCAATACGATATTGTTTATTATTAAATGACCAATTAGTGCAAAATTATTACTGTTTCTTATAAAAAAAACACATTAATTTCATTTGTTCATTTTACATGATAATTTACCCGATAGCTAATTGTTGGGACCCGAAAAACATAATGAATGGTAACTTTGGGATGCTTTATGAACGAATACTAAACGTATATTTCTTTTGTATAATTATTAAACAACTAAACTATTTATATTCATGTTCCTCTTACTATAAGTTTTATTTTGACCTATGAACCATTATTATACGTCTTACCATTCTTGAGTTATACCCAGTATATTGATTACTACCTCCCTCATTCACAGCCACATCTGGCTAATTCTTGTACAAATGTTGTTTAATATTTTATTGGTACGTTGTGGTCGGTTTGATTTTGGTATATAAACTCAGTATGATTGAAATATAATTATTCATATCTCAGAGGCTGAGACTTGCATTGTGGATTTAACTGGCTGGGCTAGGCGGAAAGCAGGACCAATCAGGACTCTAGGTTGTTCTCACGTGTTTTACGCGTCTTTGGTCCGATCAATCATTCTCTGCCATCTAATCTTCAGTCACAGTTATAACACTAATGTTACAAGTTCAGTTCATATAATTAGTAATTTATTTATTTATTTACTACGTCATTCATTATTTCAACTCTTTCTGAAGTTTCAAATTACATCATTCATAACTGACTGATTCCAATTCATATCTTTCTTTATTACCATCTATTTTCAGTTACTTCATCATACAATCATCTAATGTTTATTAACTCCATTAGTTCTAATCACTATTTCAATGTTCTGGAACTTTCCCTGCCAAACTTCGTTTATTCGTAACAAAATTTTATTACTTCATTAACTTTATCGGAATCTTCGCCACATCATAATACATATATTCATCCTTAATCACCCTCTTATGTATAAATTAGTGATTTGGTCAAAATACATAAATGATAGTTTACGTCACTGACTGATTTTAACTACACTATCATTGAAATTCAAAAAGTAACAGTTCCATATTTTTATTTCAATTTCAGTTGTTTTATGAAAGTTGCACTACGGTATAAACTTTTTAATTTGAACAACTTTCTTAAAAGTATCAACTTGAATAATAGAAGCTTAGTGTAAATTGTTCAATTTTGTAGTTCACACCATGAACTGATCTTAGTTGAATAAGCATTAAAAATCACAAAGGATTGAACAGCTGTTTCGTCTAAGTCTGAGACTTCTCACCTAACTCTACTTATAACCTCACTGAGTATTACAATCAGGACAATCATGTCTTGCAAAGTACACTTAATATCTAGATCATTGAATTATCATTTAATGATGTACATTTATAACTCTGATCAATTTGTGTTGTTGAAAAACTACTTCTTCACTGCCATTGTTCAGTAACTGTCTGGTACTCAGTATAGTTGAACTAAGCTAGTCACAGATTCATCCATCGAAAACCATTTCTTAAAACTGATCACTAGTGATGACATGATTATTATTACAGCAAAATATTTATGGAAACTATTAAAATTTAAAATTTACACTACAAACTGCAAATGTGTCTTATACCATCAGGAAATAAGTTTACTGCTTCCTAAATTTAAATGATTGTCGAATTAAAGCTGCTTAGTGATTTAAACAAGAAAATCAAATAAGTTATATTTTATTTTCATAATTTAACACATAACACACGACACATTTTGTTATATCCAAGTGAAGATTAAATTACGAGTAATTTCTGAGGCGTATTAATGGACCACTATTATCTATATATACTTATGGTATAGCTATTCAGTAATTAGATTGTGTATGTCTATATTTCGCATATTATAAGCTTCATTTCGACCGATAGATTATTATTGTACGATTTACTATTCTTATGTTGTATTCAGTTTATTAACTACTGTCTCCCACGTACACAGCCACATTTTAGCTTTATTGTGTATCAATGTTATTTCCTAATTTATGATGCGTTGCGATCTGTTTGGTTGATATATAAACCTAGTATGTCTGAAATAAATGATTGACATAGTGGAGGCTGTTATTGGCATTCTGGACTCAGCTGGACGGGCTAGGCGAGCAACGGACCAATAGAACGCTAGGTTGGTCAGACTGAACGAACGTCATTGGCTTAGTACAGTAAAAGGGCAAGTCGTATTTTGACTGGCGAATAAATTACGTGAATAAAGACGAAACACATTTTATGAGTCTGTCGTTACTAGTGATTATAAAAACAATGAAAATGATAATATATCTAATGAAATATAATATTAACCTGTGTATAAAAATCCAATCCTCTGGTGAAGTTTTAGATGCTTGTGGGTAGGTTGCAATTACTTCACTTGGTATAAATTGATTTAATCGTGCAATAATAAGACTTCTATAAATAATTTTTTCAAAAGAAGAAAAAAAACATACACAGTCCAACTTTCGGTATAATTAAATAATAATAATAGTAATAGTAATAATAATAATAATCTATTATAGATAATAAGATAATATTTAATGGGAATTCTAGAGTGTAATATTTTGTCATTATTTTCTTAAAGTTAACTCCGCCTGTAACCCCTCTGGGGCCACTGCCGGTCCCAAGCCCGGATAAAGGAGGAGGGTTGGGCATAGGGTTAGCGACCCCATCTCGTAGAAAACTAACTCGATAAAAAACGCTAACCAGAAGAAATTATTCAAACCATTTAATGTTTATTTATTTTTGTTATCATTAACCTTATTTTCACATCCATTATTTGTTTGTAATTTTCCCCCTCTTGCCGTTTGTATTCTTCGCTATCTAATTATTTATACACTTCTTATTACTTAATCGTTTTAATGTTTTGTGATGATTATTTTAAGTCTATTTACCCACGTTTGATCTTCTATTTCCAATGTTTAACTATTGACAAGACTTTTGTGATAGACTAAAATTTATGGACGGACCAATCAGATATAAGATAACAATTCATGGATTTTGGCGCGAAATTCACTAATCCATTTGGTTAAATAGAGTTTCGGCATTATAACTGATGTTAGTTCGTGATGAAAACCCTAAATCTAATTTTTTCCCGACCGTTGTTGCTACCTTGACGTGGTGGTCGGGCTTGCCTATCGTGATGAAGCAACCGAGCTATACTGGCTGGAACAACCGTTCCTCAAGGTCCTACCATGTCAGACAGGTCGGTTGAAGAGCGGTAAGACTAAAAGCAACAAACCCAAGGTCCGAAGGCGAAGTCGTACTGCTGACTGTACAGAGGTGTGACAGCAGTAAGGTGTTTCCTTCAGACAACCAGCATGACAGCGATGCTGCCTTCCCACAAGGAGGGGTGGGGTTAGAAAAGGTCGACCCTAAAAATGCACACCTCACCTTACCTCACGGATTTCCGTCTCCGGAGGTAAGGCCCTTTGAAGAACGGAGCTAACACGTCGAAAACCTTCCACGAAAAGGCCGTGCGCGACCGGCCTCAAGCAGGTGTCCCTTGGGCACTGCGGTCACGCTCTCAGGTCACTGAGACCACCTCTAATCCAATTTCCTTTTCAGGTACCTCCAGAAGAACCCTTCCACGGTGTGGGCAACCGGGAAGTGATAACCGCCCTCATACCTCTAACAGCACCCAAGACCACTGTATTCATAATCAACCTTCCTGACTGACTGAATCTAATTTTTTTAACTCTAACCATCAACTGTAAATCATAATTCTAATTCCTCACACGGGTTTATAGCCTTCATTTCGTCCTAGTTATTAGGTGAGAACTCTCGAGTTCAGTTTAGCGTCGCTTAATGGTCCTCCATAAATTATAGTCTCACTGACTTTTGTTATCGTATTTTATTATTCTTACTACTATCAGTACACCTGTCTTCCTACTATCAACTTGTGCTTTTACCTATTATGTGTGGTGACTTATTCTATTTCATTGTGATTATTGACGCAAATTGCCTTGATTGGTTTAGCATTTTCGTATAAATATTCATGTATATTAGAGTAAAGCCTGATGACGATCTAATTGAAAACAATTGTTGGCTTACATGTGTTATTCTAATTTTAACAATGAGAACATTTAATTGTCTAAAATAGATTGTTTTTTCACTACTGTATAGCACTTCCAATTTCATTAATCAACTAATAAACAACCTTAAGAGGATAAATCTGTCGAGTCACATGATCCATAACCTTAGATGGCTTCAAAATCAGTTAATGTCAAATGTTCCAATCAACATGGAAAGTGGAAGATCATGTTCATCGATAGCTAAGCACATAATTGAAACGGAGCCCGGAAATGACAGCTTTTGAAACGTTGTATAGAAATTTTAAAGGACGAATTTTCAGGTTTTCGGAAGCTATGGCCACTCGAAAACTTACTCCCCCCCCTTTATGTGTACAAAAATCATTGGTCGTAACCTTGAATTTGCCCTGGTAATCGTTAATTCATTTTATGGCCCAGGGTAAGGCGAAAATTTCCCATCCTTTCTATACAATGTCAATTATTCTCTCGCCTTTGTTCATTCAAACCTCTATTTGAAAGATCAGATTGTTCGAAATGTATGGAGTAAATAAATAATATTTTCCAGATCAAGTCTATCCTTTAAATGTTTTATCGAAATATATGTAAGTATATAACTCAAACGTGTTTCTTTGGGAGTTTCATTTTAACCGAAAACGGTTTTTGCTCAAGGTGACACGTTTAAACAACTACGGATAAGCAGGTCCTGTTTTAAGCGAAGTCGATGAAAGTACACTATACTAACGACCTAAAGGGAACCAATCAGAACTAAGATAACACCTCATAAATTTTTATGCGAAAGGAAATACAAAGTAACAGATAGCTTGTATGTTGTCACAAACTAAGTGGAAATCGGCATTTAGTGTAGTGCAACTAAATTTAATAAATTAACCAAAATCTATTTCTTACCTTAGTTTATCGCAATTTGTAAAATCGTTAAGACCCAAAAGAACACGACAGGAAGTGATCACAGTTTTACCAAACTTAAGCTGATCGATTTCTGAATTTTCACATAACATATCTGGGCCTGAAATTAAACAAATAATACTTTCTTTAATTTAAGAGTATTCCAATATGAAATGAAAGCGAACATTTGATCGTTTGATCAGAATAGCACATATTTTCATTAGTTTCATACTATCATAGTATCCGTTGGCCAGTCACTATCAGCAACAACCTACTGTTGGAGAGAATAAACCAGATTTCAATGAAGGAAGAAATCAGGAAGAAGCACTGGAAGTGGATAGGACACATTTTGAAGAAAGCACTCGGCTGCATCACAAGGCAAGCCCCCACTTGGAATCCTCAAGGCCAAAGGAGAAAAGGAAGACCAAAGAACACATTACGCCGAGAAATGGATAGAACTAGAAAGAACGGATCAGGACAGGGTGGTTTGGAGAATGCTGGTTAGCGGCCTATGCTCCATTGGGGGTCACAGGCGTAAGTAAGTAATCGTAAACTACCAAAATACTTTAACATATATTATTTTATAGGAATGTAATTCTCCAAAAGGCAATGACAACCATTTACCGATAGTCAAGATTACAACTGGGGATAGCCAAAAGAAATTTAAAAAAAATCGATTTACATAATGACAAACAAGTTTAGAGCTTAACATAACCGGTCACGTAATTAACCAAGGGAAATGAAGTTAGTGATCATTACATATAAAAATTGCTATAAACTACCGATATTTCTTTCGGTCACCCAGCAACAGAGTATAGTCTGGGAGATATTTATTTTGGCTCCAGTCACCATGCTGGATTTTTACAGCAAGATGAAATCAACAAGATATAGTAAAAGAGATCAGAATAGTGTGGCATCGACAATGAAAAAGAAACTAAGGATTGAAATTTGGGCTCAAGAAAACAGTTAAAGGGTGTATATGAAAAAGTATCGAAATTTTGGATCGATGGTTAATTAAAATAAAATTCTTAGTTTAATTAGAAACAGAATTGAAACACAAAGTAATGAAATAAGGAAATAAAGTACAGCATATTTTTTATCTGAATCGAGATAGAAACATTATTTTACAGAAATATGTATTGTGAACTTTGGTCTTGCTACGTTTAAAGAGATTACGATATCACCGGCGAATGGAACGAAAGTCAGCAACAAAACAACAGGACAAGCTAAGTTATTCCACTGCGCCCCAGCCCTGATAGCTGGAGGGAGATCAGATTCAGCCGGAAAAAATATATATTGTACAAACAGCCGGGAGCACAATCGAACAAGTCCACAACTCATGCGTAAAGATACAGTACATAAATATCCTTGAAATACATCACAAAGTAGCGTAATATAAGAGGAAACGAATCAATGACAATTAAGGTCCTTTCAGGTGGCGATTAAAAAATTAAGAGAAAAATAAGGGCTTTTGGAGTAAAAATAAGAAATTCAAATTTCCATAATAAAATTACAAAACTAGGCGTTCATCAACCGATTTCTAGGGAACACGTATTTCGTCACAGTTAAGACTCATCAATTGGATGTACCTAAATTTCATCGTTAAACTCCCCATCTGCACTTGAGCCCAATATTCATAGCTTAAAACTGTAAAATGTCACCCATTAGACTGTAGTGGGGCAAAAGTTAAGCACGGGAATGACGTTAACTGTTGATCGATGTGTAAATTTAAGTAATATCGAGGTATTATTTCAAGAAGTTTGTACTACTAAGAAAGACTAATCCAAGTCAGTCCTGAATACCAATAATTATAAAAGTTATTTATTTTCAGGTAATTTTGTATCCCAAACTGGATAAACAAGTGTCTGACTCGTAGTCTTGAGATCATAAACTTGTTACAGAATGACTGACATTATTATGGGGTCTTGAACAAAAAGAACGAAACTATTCTATACTTTCTATATTTATTAGTTCTTGATGTGATATTTATTAACCGTTAAAGTTAATTTTATCATGTCAAGCTGTATTAATAGGTTGTTTCATTTCCCAGTTGATATCCAGAAAAAAGAACAATAATTGAAGTGCTACACTAAAAACGAACTCTCTTTGGAGGAAAGAACCACATTATTAATGACAAAGTTTATGAAAATCTTATTTCTTACCAGTTCTTATAACACCTGATTTGATATTAGTTTCATCATCCGTTTGAACTAGGAAACGTTGAATAGAAGATGATGTGACTTGACCAGTTACAATTAAATCATCCAACTCATAACCTTGATAAGAATAATTTACGTAGAAAGTAAATAAAAAAAGATAAGAATTCACTTTTGATGAATAAAACTACGTTGTCAACAGTGGTTAAAAAATATATTTTACAGATAAACCAATCAGAATTCAGCTGACGAATAACTGTTGAATTTTTGCATGAATTTCCAAACTTGCTGAAGGTCATCAGAAGAGCATACTATCATGACAACTATTTACAGAATATGAAAGTGGTTAAGTGTCAGAATATTAGAATCCACATTTTTTTTCTAAATAACTGACTTATTATATTGTTGTGTATGTTATTTATGTCGATAGACATAAGTAGTATGTAACAACAATCAGAAATAAAATGTCTGACAGTAGAAGGTTGAAAAGATCGAATTGAAGAGAACGGGGATGTAAACAGAGATTAATTGTAATAGTAGTATAGAAACGATGAAACGATGTGATAATTGATGGAAAATTTGCAAATAAAATATTTAATGTATGGTTTTTCACACTTTACCAAATAACTGAAATTATGCATTGAATAATAGACTAGTATTCCCTACTTGAGTCTTCGGTCATTACAGTATAAAGCTGCTTGTTTTATTTCACAGATTCATTCTCATCAGAATGAAATTAGATGTACACATTTCATTAGCTTATGTAAAAAATGATAGGAATTGTTAAAAAAGATTCATAAAAGTATAAATATCGATATGTAAGTATGATATTACTTAAACAAATGGTATGTTATTTTGTCGTTAGTTCTGATTTAATTCTAATATCCAATTTGTAACTTGATTCAAAATTATAATGTACTGTATCTGATCTCAGATTTACTTCAAAGTCCAATATAATGCCATAAGTACATTTTCTCTTCATCGTCATTATTATTATTATTAACTTTATTCAATACTATATTTTTGGTACAATAAGCAATTCTCAGCACAAAGTATTTCAACAAGTTTCCTTTTCTTATTTCTTGATCGACCCTTACGATAAATATTGAGTGATTACTAGTTAGATATTAGCAGTTCATGAATCGACATCTGAATAATGTGTATTCTTCTCGATGTATATTGCCGGCAACCACGATGTCTCAGATTGAGCTCTTTTGTATCATGTACAGCGAAATGTCGTAGAGTTTTTACAAACGCACCTGAATACGTTATGCGACTAATAGTTATAATGATGTGTTAAAATAAACAAGAAAACAGATGACTTGTTGAAATATCCAGATGGCAGGGATAGGTAACCCAGATATTCAAGCAGTCCGCCTTGGTTTAATTGTAATGTTTAGATATATGACAACGGTAATGATTGAGGTTTGTATGATGTTTTAACGATTGATGAAGTTTAACTGTTTATTTAACAGAAAAGTTCAAGAACTAGGTCTAAAATCTGGCCTAATAACATTATCATTTATAGAATTACATAGAATGAAATGTAACAGTTCATAATAATTATTTGAAAGACAAATGGAATGTTATGTGTAGGTGACTCTATATACTAATTCGTAATTTCGATGCATTTATATCATTGGTGTGTGTAATATAGTTCACCACACATAAGTTGAACTACACAAGATATAACTTAGACTTATAAAGCTTGAGAATAAAGCATATTCAGCTAAGAGTATGAAATGATTTTGTGAAACAGAAAATGTATCATGAAATGACGATGACTTCAAATGGAAAATTTGAAAGAAATGTTAAGTCATTCTGATGAAAATCGAATGAAATATATTCTTGTGGTTGAATATTCAGAAGATTTTCATTTTCGAATTATTCTTTGTTTAAAGTTGTCGTATAGATTTACCCTTGGATTATTAGAAGAGTTTAAGAAATCGATTCAAGAGTTCAGTCAGAAGAATTATCAGTGGTGACGGAGAGAACTACAATGAACATTTCTTTTGAACAACTAGAAGCCTATATAGAGTGTCAAGAGAAACGGTTTGAACTGTCTCAAATAAGAATCATGGGAGCCCTTATGCAGAAAATGTGCCTGTCCTGACAAAACCCCACTTTTGGTGAACTACAAGTAACAAACCGACTCAGTCATTAAACAATCCATGAATTTAACTTTGATGGTTTAGTAGGCGTTACTTTTGACTCATAGTTCAAGAAATATAAAGATCTGTTCCATATTGATCTCTCCAAACTGGATGACGCTTCAAAATTCAGAATACTTCTAATAAAACTCGAAAAGACAAAACATGAAGGTTATAGTAACTTTATTCTTCCAAGGAACCCAAGGGACTTGAGTTTTGATGAAACAATTAAAACCCTGTCTCAAATCTTTGGAGAAAAGCCATTGCTTTTTAATATCCGTTACCAATGTTTGAAGATGACTGGGTGAAACATTCAGGAATTATGAACTGAGAATGTGAAAGGTTCAAGTTGTCTTCCATGACAGAAGACCATTTTAAATACCTCGTATTTGTCTGTAGTCTGCATTCACCCGAGGATGCTAATATCTGAACAAGAATCCTAAACAAACTTGGATATTGTCCCAGCATTGTGTCATAGGAAGTAACTAGCGAATGCCAAAGATTAGTCAAGTTGAAACATGACAGCTCGATGGTTGAGAACAGTAGCCGGTCCCATCACATCAATGCAGTCACGAGAAAAAACGCAACTGATTGATTGAAATCATTCATTATTTTGATAATCATTAAATTAGTTTTATTGATTTTATTTTTAATATTCCGAAAACGAAAGTACTATTCATCTCGAAAATCTGTTCTTTTGGTTAATTACAGATTTAGAAGCTTTAAGTTTCATGTCAAAATGTGAATAATAGATGGATTATGCCGAAGTTTAATTTAAATGAATTTTCTAAAATGAGATAACCCATCAAAGTACTTAATAAAAAACAAGACAAATTCTTTTAGATTTCAGATGTGTTCTATCAATATTTTCAATTTACCATAAAGATGTGACGGTAGCTTTGTGTCAATTTCATTGTCTACTTCAGTAGTATGAATAAATTTGACAGAATATTCCTGATAATATGTTATTTCAGTGCTAGTTACAGGTAAGTTGGCCATATATACTTGAGCTAATGCTTCTTGTATACTTCCATCGGACCATACAAATCTATTATAAAGAAAAGCCATTAAGAAAACTACCAAATAATCTTGTTTAAAGCATGTAATTTTCTAGGTAAACAAAAAAGCCTTCTACTTTAATTAAGAGAAAAAAAGAGAAAATTATAGCTTTCATTCAAATTGTTCTTCTATGATTTTCAAAGAAAAACCAACTACAGGAAATATGCTGAAGAGAAGTGTTTCATCTGGGGAAGTTCTTCGAATGATATCAACTTTTGACAGAATCCAATTTCTAATAATAATAGTAATAATAATAATAATAATAATAATAATAATAATAATAATAATAATAATAATAATAATAATAATAATAATAATAATAATAATAAAACTTTATCGCTTTTCATTTAAACGTGACAGTTGTGAAGTTCGACCATCTAGTGAGCAAAAATTTATTTAAAATATCAAAATACTACTGTTAGATAGGTGTTTGAAAGCTTGATTTAATTCGAATGATTTGTAGTCTGACACTTTTCTTAAGTTATCAGTGTAATGGTTTTGGAGATTATTAATTTTTTGATTAAGATCATGAACTGACTGATGTTAGACCACCGTTGAAAACCTGGAAGCACTGGACGACCGTTTCTTCCCATTTTGGGACTCTTCAGCACCATTGGATTTCGGCTCAGTGTTCCAGTAGGTTAGGCGTCCGTGCGCGAGACTGAGGGCCCTGGGTTCGAATCCCGCGAGTGGGGTCGTGAATGCGCACTCTTGAGGAGTCCCACAATGGGACGAGACGGCTGTCCAGTGCTTCCAGGTTTTCAACGGTGGTCTAACATCAATCGGTTCATAATCTCAATCAAAAACTTTCCTTAAGTGTTTATTTAACAGAAAATGATAATTTTATACGTTTACTAGCAAGATCCTATATTAAATATTTCATTAATCTGGGAGTAACTGTGATGAGATTTTTTATGATAAGTTATGACTACTACAAATGAAATAACAAGATTTTGGTCTGACTTGTCTCTTATGATTAGTTGGTACGATCCATTTTAAAGATATCTTGGTATTTGGTGACCGGTACTAGTGGACATTGTGGATTATGGCAAAAGACACAATTATTGAATGTATCCATGGCAAACCTTTATATTGCTTGATAGAACAGTTTTATATGGATTCTTAAAAGTCAGAAAATACAACATTTGCTTGTAGTATCACTCTAGGATCTGGTGAATGGAATTCGAGTGGGTTTATGGCTCAATTTTTATCATATGCTATCATATATGAGCTAAAGGTCCAAGTGTATAAATGTACTCATATTACCAAGTAAATTTTGCACACATGTAAATAGACTAAATCATATAGAAATGGATATCGACGTATCTATGGAAATCCACATTGATAACTGCTCATTCTAATTTATGAGAAGAGAAAATCCATTTTTATAAAAATGGAAAACTTAGCTAAAATGACTTGAAAATTGAAAAGTTCATACTGACTCCACACCTTTGCGGAGCTCAATAACAAAAGTTCTGCAGAAGTAAGTAAATTACAAACTTAAATTGAAATTCGCCTATTGGATGTTTGCCGTTCACCGAGTTATCGGGTAAGTGCATACCTGATGGGACCAAATGAAATCCTGAGACTGATATAAAAAACTGGTTTTACATTCACCAACCTACTTCATCAATAGCATCGTTCAGATATCTAAAAGTCAAGTAAGAGTCTTTAACACAATAGTCCCATCAGTACCACTGTACGCGTATAACACCTGTTTGATGCATATGCATGAATACATGAATAAGCAATATATTTTACCATTAACATCATCACATAGCACTCTTGTGGCGGAACCAATGAGTTAAAAATATTTCGGTTAAGCGACAAGCGACATTTAAGTTGTGAACCAACACTAATCAAAGTAAAGAGTCATGGTTTGAGGATACCTAGTAAGGTAGTAGGCATACACCATATTACATAGATTAGTGACACGATTAGAATATTCACTTGATTATGATTATTATTTCTTGTCTTATTTCTGTGGGAGCCAGCACTGTGAATTTCGGTAGATGGTAGCCTGACACGTGTCACATCTTATGACAATACTGACATTTATATACTCAATGGTCTAGAGGTCGATTGTTCGCGCGCGAAACCGAAGGTCATGTATCCGGTACCCTGGTCAAAGTAGTTGGAGTGAACTTCTGTGGTGTCTCATACTAGGACGAAACAGTGGTGCAGTGCTTTATGCTTTTTAATGGTGGTCTAACTAGGATCAGTTCGTGATTGAAAACTATGGAAATTCTATAATCTCTACAAGAACCTATACAGATAACTATTTATATTTTACTATCCTTGTACTTTTTTATCTGAGGACAAAAGCTTATCTAGAAAATATTTCATATAAGAAAGAGGAAAAACTCACTTATAATCCACTTTCATTACGACATTGTTGCATATATTATTCGATAAATCAATGTCAGGTGGAAGATCGAAATCATTATGCCAAGGACAGGTAGTTGGGACTAAGTAATTTGACTTCACTGAATTTTGTAATGGGATACATGAAGTCGATTTAGACGTTGCATTATATGTACAGTTATGATTGAAAAAACCGGTTTGATTTATTTGATCTACATTAACATTTGACTAAATGAACATTGAAATATAGCAAGAAAAGGTAGAAAACACTTGAGTTTGTCGGATATTGGACGACGTTGTAATTTTAAACGAGTACTTTAAAACATACTAGATATTAGGAAATTTAATATGTACTATGGATTTAACAAGAATTTGCCTATAAATGGTGTTTAAAAGTCGTCATGAAGTAATTTCGCGCAATTAAATTTGAACCCATCATACTAGATGTTGTATCACTAGTAACCGATTCATGAAACCATTACGGGAATCTTCATAAATCCTCAATCAATTCGTAATTTATCACAGACGATCAGAACTAAAATAAACGTTTTCAGTCTCTTCATTAGTAATTGTCAGTTTAAATGTATAATGCATTATCTTTTGAGCTATTGATTTGAGATAGCCACTAAGTTTATTGACGGGTATGTGTGCATCATAAATTAGTAAGAGTTTGAATTGTTTCATTGATATTCAAGATTGGAGTTAAGGTAGGTATATTCGCCTGATGAACTTTAAGTAGAACAAAATGTATGACCTAGAATGAACTGCTAGCCACACACAAAACATATTAAAACTTGTAGCATAAAACCGTATCGAGGAGGTATGCTCAGGAAGTACATATAGCAAGAGACATTGGTCAGTTGTAATCTTGAATGTGAACAACGGAAGATTGAAAATCCCTAATAATACTTATCACTAAAATCTAAAAAATCCCATACATAAATATTTCAATTGATGACACAAAAATAATACCTAATCAGTGATAACTAATAAAAAAACTGAATTATCATGTACCTGAGAAGACATTGTAAAGTTCTGTAATTCATTTTGCTTTAAACAAAAATAATCCACCTTTACTGGGACTGGTGTATCATCTCGTAAACGATTCATGCGTAAACGAAATATTGATTCAGAATTTCTTGATATTGCTAAATCATCAATTAAATAAGCACGTGCAAATAAACGGTCCAATAGTGTTCTCGGTCCCCAGCCTAATTATGTTATGAAATATATATATACGAAAAATTGGATTTTAAATATACAAAGGTCCAACATATATTTACTTAAAATTGTTTTACTTCAACTGCTTTTTTCATAGCTTCCATCAGAGACTGAACTTAATTCAGCAATTATTGGAAACCAGGAGGCGCTGAATAGCTGTTTTGTCCTAGGATGGTATTCCTCCAACTAACAATCACATTGGATGATGGTTAAGCAGTAACGTGAAATGATGAAACTTATAAGAGCAAACTATTGGATGATAACTTAAAATTCTAAGAGTCGAACTTTAAACACAAAATTTGAAGATCTTTAATTCAGTTTCTATGAGGGTATGGATATGCACTGCTGAAGATCTTCATAATAAAACTAAACGGATGTTCAGTGCTTCATGGTCATCAATGACTGTTTATCTAAGGTTAGTTCTTGACATAACAATGAAATTCAACAATCTCCTCTAACTCCTCGAACTAATGATACTGCAACAGATTGAGTTCAGTTGGTAAAAGTAAGTTTATTCTGCCTGTTTAATTAATGATAAATTCATTGAACTGTTTCTTTAATTCTGACTAAATATAGACTGTTACTACTATTAGAGATTTAGTAGTAATCAATGTCCTGTTATTTATTCCTTAGAGCAGTTTCGATTCTCTCGATTAAGATGAAATATACCGGCTAAAGATAATGACTCTATAATTCAATAAACTTTATTTAATGACTGACGGTTGAAGACAAGCGGTGGGAAGATGTAGACCATGGTTTATTGTTAGAACTCGTGAGCAAAACATACCTGTAATATTGTGAAAACTGATTTCATATTTGGGTTCAAACCTATTTTACTCAGAGTCGGAAACAATGGTGTTGCAAGTGAGCTATTCACATGGTGAGTCATCATTAGACAGTTCATTTCAAATGGGTTTACATGCAATAAACAGTCATGAAGTATGCATTCGGACAAGATCAACACTCATTTAGTATGATGAAGAGATCAGTTAGATTATTGATTTTATGCAAAATTCTATGATTTAATATAAATTTAACTGAGTAGACAGAATAGTGGGAATTACATCTTTTTCATTATATATTTCTGGTTGATAATCATCTAGTAGAAACTGTTCACTTGAAAAACTAAGGAATATATAGATTGTGCTTTGCATCAGTATATAATATTTTGAAATATAAATAAACGTAAGTTAAGAGTGAAAGAAATTTAGAATTATTTTTTTAAAAGACATGTTGATAACAATTAAGTAGATCTTTTTAATGTCGTTAATTAATATTATGGCATCAGTCCTTCAAGTCACTAACTTCTGATCTGAGCCATGTCGGGAGATGAAGACTACTTGGTTGGAATCCGCATAATTATTGTGACCAATGGTTGGAGACTCTGGATGACATGGTTCAGAATCGATCACAACGACGTAGGTGTATACACTCTTTATGTTCCCTTAAACTGTGGGATTAAAACTGTTTTTTTATCTTTCTTTCTACGACCTAATTCTTTCTTCCTGTATCATATCCTCATATACAATCATTATTTATATATTACTACCGTTAAAGTAACTACTTATATGAATTTGTCCATGTTGTTGTGATAATGAGGTATAGCAACTTGGATCGATGAGTATATGTGCCTGGTCCTACGTTGTAGCTGACTGACTGACTGACTGATGTTCTCCTTGGCCATCACGAAATCCTAATGATTAAGTTTGAAATAAAGGTTCAGGGAGAAGAAGTTAATAAAAATAGTAGAAAAGCAATATCCATATGCATGTGCTTTACTTTTATGTAAATTAAGACTCCTTGTTAGTAATAATTACAAAATAAGACTCACCAATCCCTATATTGTTTTTTATATTGATTGCGTCTTGACATTGCATGACTGACAAAACAATAGGACATCTATAAGTAATTCGATCAGAAAGATATTCTACGGGAATATTTGATTCTAAATCACAGTTCATTTCATTGGGTAAAACAAAATACTCATTATATTGACTAACGAGAATAGATGGATCATCTGAAGTTGTTAAAATTACCGGCTGTATCATTAAAAGTAATGGATCACCATTTGTATATGAACGTTGTTTTTGGTTGTTTTGATCAACAATAACTTCTCGAACACCCAAATCATTAATTTGATCTAATGGATATTCAGTTTTAGCATTTTTAGTATTCTTATTAAAGTCATTAAGACTACGAGCAGGTGAAAGTGAACTGTGATATTTTCCAAGAACTGCACTATTATCAACAGTAACACATAGAAGTGGATGATAATCTGGTAATCTTGTGAAACCACGATTAATTAAATCAATTTTATTTTCTTCATTTTCAATTCGATCTAACATTGCATCACAGCTATGATAATTTGGTAGACTGAAATAACCACCAAAAAAACTTGCTGAAATGACTGTAGACTGATTGACAGGACAAATCTGATTAGAAACAAGAAATATTACACTACAAAGTTTTGCAAAACTAAGAATACTTAAGTTTATAAATCATTCAACTGAATAAACTTTTATGAGTATTCATCGTTTGACCGCATAAATCACATTAAGTTGAATGAAAATATATTCAACAATCCAAATAATTTATGGAAATTTTCTCTGTCATACTACTAATTAAAAGTACTGTAATAGTATTGTGGTGTGTGCTACTTATACTGACATAAGTAGTATATGATGTTAGTCGTGAACAGAAGGTCTGGCAGCGGAGAGACAAGAGGATCGAACAGTAGAGAATGGGAACAGAATGCAATTTGTATGAAAATGCAAGAGCGATGAAGTCTGAGTCATTATGAGACAATTGATGGACATTTTTGCAAATAACGTATTTACTATTTGATTGTTAGATTATATTAACAAGTCCTGTAATTTTGTGTTAAGTACATTCGATTGTTCTCCACTGGTGTTCGTGTTCACTACAGCATGATCACTATTTTTGAGTACATATTCAATGAATAGTAAGACGAAGTTATTTATTTCATATTGCGGAAGGCTATGATAAGAATACATACCATTATTTAATCAACTTAAGGATAGGATAGTTTAGATTTTCTTATCCATATGGCGTAATGAAAGACTTTGTTTAACTAAACTGAACATCTGAATTTAATCGAACTCTAATTAATAACAAATAATGTATGAAAGTTTATATTACATTCATGTTATTACTTGGAAGAGATCAAATATCTTGATAGTAATCACATAGTAATTTATACATAATTGTAGATATATAACTAAAGAAGCCTCTCTTCGAAAGAATAGGAACTCTTCAACACGATTAAAATCCACAGTTAAATCAATCCAGATTAATGATTTTTGTTCTAAATCAAACTGAGACACAAAATAACTGCACTGACTTTTACGTAGGTTTGAACTTTAATGAAACTTCAAGATTGTATTCATACATCATATTCATAAGTGGAGTAAGATAATATAGTTCAGTTTAACGAGACGTAGTGACGACCTATCTATGTCTATCAACAGTTTGATCATTATCTATGGCAGAAATATTTAATGCTTTGCTTTATTTTTAGAGTTATGTTTGGTTAAAAATACGTTATTATGAAAGTGAAATCTCGGAAAGCGATGATGATCTCGTACAAGGTATGCTCAAAACTCTTTCCGAATTAACTGATTTCGGTAAAAGGATTTACAGAATCAGGGTGACACGAATACCTAATCAGTTATATGATTTTTTTAAAATGTTTTCTTGTTCAGATACACTTACGTTATCGCATGGACATCCAAGGTCACATGTATTTATGGTTAGGTCACAGGGACAAGGAGAAATTTGCGTCCATACAGGATCAGGATAGGGAAATGTTTGATCTATGGAAAAAAGTTAGAACAAAATGTTAATTCATATCAAAACGAGTTTAATAGTAAATCAAATTATGAAAATTCAGAATCGTGAAGAAATTATTCCGTTGACGTATCTTATAATTATTAAGAAACGCATCCGAAAGACAGATTATAGACATCATTTTGAGAAGAAAGCTCATATGAATTAACGCTGTCAGGTGTTCATGTACAATTTCCCGGGTTTCGCTACCTCTAATTCATTTTGGGCAGCATAGTACTATCACCAACCTTTCAGCATAAAGGGTGACTTGAGTGAGGCAAGTACATAGATTTTTACTTGTTAGATATGCCACACCACAATTCAGAGAAATACACACCATCTAACCATATAATTAACTTATCAAATCTTAAATCTTAGACAATGATTAACTAACCTGTTGGTAATTCTTCACCTTTATTAATAATTAAACGAGATTTAAGTAGAACATTAATTCGACTTGTTGTTACAATATTAGCAAATGCTGGATCCATTGTAGCATTTTTTGTAGTACTGCAACATTTTAAAATTAATATTTCCATTGTATTATCATATTCATTTGTTGGATATGAGTTACGTTTCACCGTAAGTAAACGTGTAAGTGAATCTGTACGACTTGATATTGATGATGCCTATAAATATATATCATAAAATAAAATGTTTTTTTTCCTTTAAAATAACTTATAGAAGTAGAATGCTGTACTTTGTAGCAGTTTTTCAAAGGTACTTATTTAGAAAGATATCTTATTTGTCTGGTTAATACTGATTGTTATCTAAAAGAATATTTGAATTTCAATGAAAAAATGATTAAGTTACATTCGTGGCAATAAACAAATTGTTAGTCAATTTAAAAGAAGTTCAACCGGATCAGTTGTGAGATAGTAACTCACTGAAGACAATGGTGTATATGTCGTTCAATTTCGTGGATTAATTGAAGTTAGATATTAACACCGTTGGATGCCAACTCAGTGGCCTAGTGGTTAAGCAAATAATTACAGTCGATTAGATGTTCGAGTATAGAACTCCTAACTGCTTTCCTTTCACCCTTGTACAACCAAACTGGGATATGTTCCCGTATCCAAGTTGAAAGCAAGCGTTGGCTACGGCCAATGTACTTTGCTCCTATTATTTTATTCATAAATACTCATCATATCACCTTATCTATTTCTTACACCTCTATAACCTTTAATTATTATAACAAAAACATTTCACAGGTTGAAATCATGGGTCAGTTGAAGCTAGACCACCATTGAAAACCTGGAAGCACTGGACGGCCGTTTCGTCCTGGTATGGGACTCCTCAGCAGTGTTATAACCTTTTTTATTACGTTATCTGGGTTATTTCATGTTCATATTTCCTCATGGAATTAGTACTTTAACAAAGAAGTTTCATATATATACATACATATACGATTGTACAGCTTGATAATAAATTCGTTGAAAAGAGATCCTTTCGATGAACTTCGTGTTTTTAATTTTTTACTGTTTAAATACGAATTATCTGTCAGCTTTTTTAATCAATAAATGAACAAACTAACCTACCTTAAATTCGTTTAAAGAAGGTGTTATAGACCAGTTGTTTGAAGTTGCAACTTAACATGAAAAATTAAAAAAATAAAGGTAACATTTAGATATTTTAACATTAAATTCACTGGTTTATAATATATAACATTATGAAAGCAAGTCAAATAGAAACTCATAGTGAATTGGTTAAATTATTTGAGATATATAACGTTGATCTAGATTAAAACACATAAATATTCAGCTTTTGCAGATCCACATGGTATGGAATGTGGAATATCCAGATTTCATATTAGCTGTGAATATTTTATTAGTAGTATATAGTCAAATACAATTCATGAACGATAATTGTTGAATGTAATGGATGAGTACTTGTTCACATTAGCCATCATTTTGGTGACCTACTGTATCAAGAATAAGATTTCAGTAGAATTCTGAAGAATTCAACTTGAAGTAATTGGATTTTTTTGAACATTTAAGTGAGTTATCAAAAAGCGGTGATAAAAAATCAGTCTGTACATACGATATATGTTTACTGGATCTAAAATATTCAATTTCTAAATTGTCTGAACATAGAAAAAAACAGAAAACTGGATACACAACGGATAAGTGCAAAATTATTTCGTTTAACGTCAATAGTTCCAAAGTCGATTGTGTATGAGTTTGAGGATGAGCACTAATGATCAGTTTGGATTAAGATGAAATGAATCCTTGATAATTTTCTCCTTGACTTCCTTCAATTTTCTTTGAGTTTCAGTTAGGAAATGATTAGTTATGAGATATCAAAATTTGGGCAATCATTAATCTGACTCAAATTTAGGAAATAATACGAAAATAATTCACGTTCCTGTTCCCTTAAGTTTGAAGTTTAATCTAGTCTGATGATACAGCGTTTTATGTCCCCGTTTTGGACATTTGTGTCCACTGTAATGCGACCTCCTAAATTTAATGGGCAGTTTTTTTATATTTAGAAAGACATTTTTACGTAATAAACTTCACACTTCATCTTACAGTTATAGTTAGACCGTACTACTCAAGTACTGAGAAACAGTAGTGGAGAGAATATATAGCGGTTATACAGTGACACCATTAAGTACAGTGTTGAATAAAGAGAAATTGAGTTTCAAGATAAAGTGAAACTACTAATACCCATATAAGGAAGTCGTTGAAAATAATTTAAAAGAGACTAAAATATATTACCGTTAGTTGATGCTGTTCCACATGTATTATCACTGAGTAAATTATTGGCTTGTGTTTCATTGTTAGCCACACTAACGCTACAAAGGACTCCCAAATCTTGATTTAATCCATTCAGAAACAATAAAACCTGTAAAATAATAATATAAATGTTTTAAGGTTTCTAAATTAAACAGGAATTATTGATGGAACTTCTACTTTGGCTTTAAAACGTTTATTTTCCCAATATATAACAGTATCAATGTGACTCGAATAGTGTTTACACATTTCATGTAAAACTCACATTGGTTTAAATAAAAAGAAATAATTTAAACATTTAAAGTATACATGTTTGTTTGAATGCAAGCTATGCACTAACGCGTGTGGATTATAAAAAATACGCTGGTTCTATGAGGCATGACAACTAAACTTTATTGCAACGCAAATATGCAATTCTTAAAAGAATACAATAGATTACATAACTTCCTGATCTATGTTATGTCGGTGGTAAATTTTCAGCTATGTTCCTTGAAACTACGCTTGTTGGTATTAAATAGTGGATTGTATCCACAATCTTTGGAAATAATTTATGGAGATTTAGTTTAATGTAAATAGTTAGTTAAGTACGTATTTATAGACTTGTCTTTTACTTGCACTTGAGTTATAAGGGTTAGTAATATCTAGCTACACTAACCGAAGTAATGCCAAACAAATATAAATGTATTTTTGTCTCTTGCGTATTGGAAAAAATATGTGCATTAAACTAATATCACCCCCTTATTGATTAAACCTCCGATATGAATCAGATTACACCTTCATGACGGGTTTAGCTGTATCGGCAACAACAATTTCCTATTAGAACTGTTTACTATTGCCTCGTTATTTATTTTGTGTGCTAGATATGCTACTTATTAATAGTAAATAGTTTGGTTTTAACAGTTAAATTCACGAGCTGATCTAAGCTAGACCACTATTGGATAGCTGGTGGTGAATTCAAATGTCTAAAATACTAAAATCTCCACAAAACGCCTTACTAATAGTTTGGTTTTATTGAACAATCTCAACATCTCATTTGGTTGGTTTTTCTTTGTTTAGCTTCATTTTGTGACCTATTATCCGAAACTTAGTTTAATTTGAACGGTTTGTGAATACGAATTGCTGATGAGTCCCATGCTAAGACAGAACAGCTGTCCAGTATTTCCTATTTTTAAATGGTTGTCCAAATAAAATCAGATGGTGATGCAAATAAATTTTTACCGGGTTGCGAATTTACTTTTATGCGTTTCGTCTGATGAAAGCATGTTCCTTTTCCATTGATACTTTGACGGCTTTATTAAAGCCTGGAAACTTCACAGTTAGAGGTATATAAATCCGTTTTTCTTCTCATTTTGTTTCACACAACAGACAAATCTAGTCCTTCAATTTCCAAGTTTTGAGATTTGATGCAGTCATTTAGGATAGAATTCTTACACAGATTTCACTACCTCACTTTCAAATCTAATAGAACTGTAATTTAGTGATCATTGTACTAAGTTCATTTGGTTCAATTCAAGTTCATTTCGTATAGCAGGTGAATCTAATGGTACACATTTGGTTTAGCCCAAAGGATTCAACAACTAGGATATTCACTGTCGGTCTTTTCAAAGATAGGTTATGAAGGTCAAGTATAAATCCGGATTTAGAAATTCATAAGTCAATTCGTTCTCACAAAATGTTAAAACGAAGCAATAAAAAAAACAGAATAGGATAGCATTTTAGGATACAACCGACAAAATATTATTTCGCGTTGTACTATGGAGAATATTAATAATAATAACTAAGAGAAAATACAATAAACGAACCTGAAACTGTAGACTATACAAATTCACATCATTAGGTGTAAGGATAATCTCTCCATTAATTAATGAGATCGATGAACTGCATCCTTTAATGTTAATAGACAGTATGACAGAATCATAAATTTTGTACTAACCCTCAGATGTTGCCGACATATACTGACTACCATTAATTGATTGTGCTCTACATGAAATAGTAAACGATTGAGCATTGGAAATTGACTGAATAGCAACAGACACCTGAAAAAGTAATGTCCGATCACTTTTGATCTCAAAAACTTACAACTCCATTTGACGTTCCAGAATATACAGTGATAGGGTTTATCGAAACTGATATATCTGTTAAATATATGGGAAAATAATAATTATTTGCTGAAAACCGTTTCAAAGTGTTTAAAAGATGTAAATCCTTATTATAAAGCCTGTTCGATAATTGAGATTAGTCAGCAGGATATCTTGCTTGACGTTCGTTTCATGCCAATTGGCACTTGGGATTTAGGGGCACCTTCAATCTTAATTATTGAATTCAGAAGTATGAACTTGATTAGCTGAAATGGTGGGTGGCATCCGGACAGAATTCCGCTGCAATTATCTTTTTATTCCACTTAAAAATAATTAGTAGGGATTCAGTGTTAAAGAAAAATTATTTCGACTGAAGGAAAAATGAACCACGAAAGAAATGATGAAAGGATTCCTGTTCGTTCATGGTAATTACTATATAGGTTTACTAATGATTAGGGTACAATGGGATTAGATACCGCTGCAGCAAAAAGCTTGAACCTTAGTAATATGATAATAATAAGACATTTTAAAGACAAATGATTAGTTACCTGATTCACCTTTCTTCAGACATGTCACGATAATGTTGCTTTCTGAAACAATCTCACTATGCGTACATAAGACAATTGAATCACGTTTACCTGGTTAGAACAATCAGTCGCTGATTAAAAGGAGTTGGTTTCTTCAGGAGACGAATTGTCTTTGGACCAACAGATACAACAGGAGGTTTTCTACACTGGATCAAACTGTTATACAAGTAAAATGTGAGTATCTAAACTACCTTTTAGTTGAGAACGAAATACTCGAATTGGATTTATCATGACAGAAGAAAAGAATTGCATGGCCAGCTTGAGAGCATCGGAAAGTGATGGTTCCACTTGGATTAGAATCTGATAACAACATTTCTGAGAACAAACCGTTCGTATCAGATGCGGTAGGTGTTTTAAGAAAGGAACAAGTAGCTGTACTCTGAAAACATAATATGTTTGTAACCATCTTACCCGAAATACGTCTGAAGTCTTTATTGAAATTGGAATTAAAATATTCTGTTGATTCATATTTGTGCTATATGAAATGACATTCCCGTCATCACAAATAGTCAAAATAAAGACTAGATTGATTACTAACTCTGTAAAAACTTACAGTGGAAGAATACCAAAACACAAGGATGAGAAAGTACATTGTACAATCTAAAACCTTTGACTTTGGGCATATCTGTATACGTCAAAGAAACCTGTGAATAATCAAATAAGTGATCATTAATCATCGTCTGAGTGTAGTGTCCAGCTTGATCAAATGGCTTGAATTGGCATTGGAATAAATCTCCGGATTAGATCCAAACAAGTTCTAGCTTGATGAAAGTTCAGTTAGCTGCAAATGTTGAAGCAACTAATTAATCAATCAGTAAATTTTTAAATTAAAGGTCTTTTCTACCTTATCTTTACCAATTTCACACTTCTGTTTCCTTCATTCAGCGTTGTCCTTAACAGCTTTCAATAATAGACACAGCAGGAAATAGAATTAACGAATCTTTTTCTTTACTTGTGTCTTTGTTTCGAAGGAGTAGTAATTCAACAGGGATGCGAAAGAAATGATTCAACAGATACTCAACTTTAAACGAGTGTTTCAAAACACCAAACGTCAAGAGGTGGGATAACAAGGTACCAGTTAATTATTCCTCACTTTATGGACTGAAACAAAATTAAATAAAGCATAATCGTAAATCAATTTAAAAACAATTGGTGTGCTAAATTTAGTGTGTCACAAATCATTTAGATTCATTTACCGGCTTGGATGATTACAGTGTATTGTCAAATTTAAATGTGACGCTAATTTGCCTCAGACAAATATCTACACTAGATTTCCTCTCAGTGTCCACTCCACAGGACTTCAAAACAACTAGTATCAAGAACACATGACTAGCCTGACTAGAACGTAAACATATTTCCGCGCCATAAACCGACAACAATCCGACGCAATCATAGTAATGAAAAGTGTAAGAGAATATATAACTCATCTAGTGCCTGTCAGACTACCTACTAGTCTAACTAAGCAAACAACCAATCATTATTATTCGCGTCCACACATCACCCAGATTTCAAATATTGCTTTCGTTAAAGTCTGGTTATATATCTTCTTTAGAGGTTAGCTTCATACCACTATGTGAAAAGACTATTCATAACTTGTATATATATATATATCCTTCCGACTTGTTCTAATGAATTGATCCAGTATAATCAATGGCCATTATTCCGTTATGGGAGCCTGGTTTCACGAGGATTACCTTTCAGGCTTTTGATCATCGACTATGTCTTAAGAGCTACGAGGTGAATCCGCATGTTTTATCTCTATCGTGCCAACCAACATATTCATTTTATGACCCTCATTGCATAACGTTGACTTCCATGTTTCAAGCCTTCGAGATATTTATCTAGAACACAATCAACCATAAATTAAGGAACTAATATAAATTTGCAAATGATATGGTTCATAAAAGAGATATAATACCCCACATATTAGCATTAAAAATTTTTAGGTGAATCGTCGAGATTTTCCTTCTAAACTGACCTCCAGCATATCCCTTAGAGATGATCGGAAAATCTAATTCTTCAAAGCAATACACACCGTTGATTTCATAAGTTCTGTTCCTCGAGTGTGGGCCCACTAATTATCCTTCAGGATTTTCAATGGCAGTATATTGGAGTAGAGTCGAAACAAAAATTAAAGCAGGACAATATAAATTTATTTTATCCCGTGTTTCCTCATCAGTTGCTAGCAAAGATTTCCATATTAAATTCGAACACTAGAGTGCAATAGATTATGGGGTAATAAACAACGAATTTTAATTGTTACTGTTCTAAAAAAACGAAAAGCTGAGTAATTTTCCTTGGTGACAGTTTTGAGGTACTGGTGAAAGTTATATAATATGCCCGTTGTTAATTAAACGGAGATCTGTGGAACTGTTGTAAGATAAGGCGACAGTTTTAACTCTATTAAACACGGATAAATCTATACAAAAGGCTGTAGGCAAAACGCAGCTGGTCAGCAAGACATTGGAAGGGATGTTATCAGAAGAAAAATCCTCACCGCGTGAAAAGACAGATCTCTCTGAGAGATCAGTCATTTTTCATAAGATAAGGGAATCTTCAGATACTGAACCAAATGCAAGATTTGAACATGATCTCAATCATATTAAGACATCATTAAGTAAACTACTCCCAGATACAGTTTCAGGAGTTAGTATTTGTAAGCTTTATAGAATAGGAAAAAAGGTGGATTCCGAAAGTCCTCAGAAAAACCGCCTCCTAAAGGTTACATTCAACACGGTGGAAGAAAGGAACATGATTCTAAGTAATTCACGTAAACTGATTGGATCCGGAATATATGTCCGTGAGGACCTCAGCCTAGCTGATCGTGTTAAGAGAAGAGCTGCAGAAGCGGAAATAAACGAGCGTCGCCGAAACGGTGAAAGAAACCTCGTTCTTAAGGGTTTTCAGATTGTAAAAGTTCGGAGCAAAACGATCCCCAAGCTACTCTGGGTGGCAAGGGAAAGCTCTATACAGACTTAAAAGTGTGCTACACAAATGCTCGCAGCCTACTAAATAAAATGGCGGAGCTGAAGTCAGTGGTGGATAAAGAAAAACCGGACGTTATCGCTGTCTCGGAAACTTGGTTAACGTCAGAAGTATTAGATAGTGAAATCCAATTGACTGGTTTCATAACCAGTAGGGCTGATAGATTAAACCGAAGGGGAGGCGGGGTTATTGTGTACACGAAAAGTACCCTAACCATAAGATTAGCTGAGACAGTAGCACTTGTTTCAGGGACATGTGAACTGGTGAGATGTAAGTTGAAATGCCGAAGGCAAGATATTGAAGTAGTTGTAGTTTATCGCAGTCCAGAATGTGTAGCAGATGATTTTCTCCTTAGTAAACTTAAGTCCTGGTGTAACAACGGTAAAAGCCTTGTAGTAGGCGACTTTAATGCACCATATATAAACTGGGTTAACTTAGAAGTAGGGTCATCCATATCGTCGTTCGACTCCAAACTGTTAGAAACCTCGATTGGACTAGCATTATTCCAACACATTAGAGATCCCACAAGATACGACTTAAGAAACTCTTCTCTTTTAGATTTAGTCTTCACACATGGTGATGACGTTGGTCAAACGGCTTTTCTCCCACCACTTGGGAAAAGTGACCATGCAGTCATCTTATTCAAATTCATGGCTGAGATTGCTTGTCAAACAATTGTGCCGGCCCGTCCTAACATATGGAAGGCAGATATGCAGGCAATTAATTCCGCAGCATCGGCTGAGAACTGGGAAATTGACTCAAAGGCATCAGTACAAGAGGCATGGACTCTATTCAGGCAGTTATACAATCCGGTAACTCAACCATACATACCCTGGACTGTCCCAAAGAAAAAGAAGCACGGACATCCCTGGATAGGGTGGGATATTCGACGCTTACTAAGACAAAAGAAGAAATGCTGGGATGTTGCCATCCGCCTTGGCATAGCAGGTACGATGGAGCGCTACAGATCGATAAGGAACGAGTGTATAACTAAAAATCGGGAAGCGCAAAGAAAATATGAAATGCAGCTGGCAGAATCTGCACTCAAGCAGCCCAAGAGGATATTCTCGTACATAAACTACAGAACAAGGATTCATCATTGGATTCCCAACCTAATTAAAGTAGGAAGTGAATCTGAAATGATAGAGGAAGATCAGGAAAAAGCTGAGGTTATGGCTGACTACTTTGGGGCAGTTTTCACTCAGGAACCTCCTCTAGAGAAAGAACCAGACCCAATTACAGAGTCGACAAACCAGCTGCTCACCGTGGACTTCGACGAAAACGATGTGCTTAAGGCTCTTAGCACCCTAAACATGGAGAAGTCGACAGGACCAGATGAACTGCACTCTAAAATCTTGAGACATATTGCCCAATATATCGAAGCCCCACTGATTGTGATATTCAAAATGTCACTTGACCAAGGTGTGTTACCTATGGACTGGAAGGACGCAATCGTCACTCCCATACATAAAACAGGTCTACGACAAGTTCCATCAAATTACAGACCCGTAAGCCTCACCAGTGTTGTAATTAAAATACTGGAAAGAATAATCAAACGGATCATAACAGCATTTATGGAAACCAATAACTTGCTGAACATGGCACAACATGGTTTTAGAAAGGGTCCATCCTGTACAACGAACCTCCTTATAGCTAGGGAGCTCTGGATTATTGCGCTAGACAACGGAAACTCAGTGGATGTTGTCTACATAGACTTCAGTAAGGCTTTTGACAAGGTGCCAACTAATAGACTGCTATTGAAGTTGGCAAACCTTGGTATTGCCGGACCTCTTTTAAAATGGATTAAGGATTTCCTAGTAGGTCGTAGGCAAAAGGTAAGAATAAATTCCAAGTGCTCCATCTGGAGACCAGTACTTAGTGGAGTACCCCAAGGTTCCGTCTTAGGTCCTTTACTTTTTATAATGTACGTTAATGATCTTACAAGTATAGTACAGTCTCCAATGTTATTATACGCTGACGATGTAAAAATTTGGCGAGTAATAACTGGAGACAAAGACGCATTTACTCTTCAGGCGGACTTAAATAATATGATAAACTGGTCTAAAGAGTGGCTAATGCCTATCAACTCGGAAAAGTGTGTCTACATGCACTTGGGGGATTCAAAGGTTAATAGGTACAACATAGGGGATGTGTCATTACCCGTAGTCCGGTCTCATAAGGACCTAGGGGTGACAGTGAGCAATGATCTTAAGACGGCAGCCCATTGCCGGGAGGTCGCACTTAAGGGGTTTCAAACCCTCTGGGCTTTAAAAAGGACATTCACTAAGCTTAATACTACCATGTTCACCACATTATACACATCCTTAGTGAGAACTAAGTTAGAGAACTGTGTTCAGGCTGCAAGCCCCTGTTTAAAAGGTGACTCAGACATACTAGAAAAGGTACAGAGGGCAGCTACGCATGCAATTCCGGAACTCCGGGGTTTATCATATAAAGAGCGGCTTGAAAAACTGAACCTCTTTACTCTGTCCTATCGCAGACCAAGGGGAGATCTAATTTTGATGTACAGAATACTGAGAAATGAGTTCGGACCTAACTTATTCTCTCTCTTTCTTCTCACTAGATCGGGACACCTCAGAGGACATAGAAGGCGAGTAGAAAAGCCAAGAACGAACAAAAAACCCGTGGCATACAGGTTTTCACACCGAGTCATCATTACTTGGAACCTGCT